AAACTTGCTTTTTACTTTACTGCCTTCTTTTCTGTTGTTTCTGTTATAGAAGAGTGCTACGAAGAGGAGAGGATCTCAAGAACCGAAAGAAGAAGAAGAAAAAAAGGAGTGGAAAAGGAGGCAATTCAGAGAATGTTTAGCCAGCAAGTCGCCCGCGGTGGGCGGCGAGTCGGCCAGATGGCTCGAGGCGGGCAGCAGCCGTCGTTTGCTGCGCTGAGACGAGCCGGTCAACGACGATGCTATGCTGATGCTGCGCAAGGTAAGTCGCCTCACTATTTTGCCGTTCCGTTAGTCTTGTACAAGAGACGAGTGCGGAACAGAGAGGCCAGAAGGCTGACCGAGTTTGTTACATCCTCCAGCCGCGCCCAAAGCCCGAGTCGGACGAGCCCTCGGCCTGCTCCTGTACGGCGCGGCATTCAGCGGCCTCGGCGCAGCGGCGACGTTCTACGCCATGGTCCGCCAGGGCTTCGCCTCCTTCACCGACGCCGAGTCGGCCAAGCTCTTCGTGCCCGACACGGAAGACCTGCAGCGCATCGAGGACACCATCAACAACCACCCGCTGGTGCAGGAGCTCCGGTCGCGGCCCGAGTTCAAGGAGTCGCGCCCGCACCTCAAGATGTCCGAGGAGATCCGCCGGCGCAGCCTGACGGCCGGCGTGCTTCAGGGCGAGGGCAAGATGGCGGTGCCGCCGCTGGCCTTCATCGAGGACGGCGGCAAGTCCATCGTCAGCGTCACGTACGTCGGCGACCGACTGTGCGGGCACCCGGGCCTGGTGCACGGCGGGATGCTTCGACGCGCTGCCGCACAAGATCGCCGTGACGGCCAGCCTCGAGATCAACTACCGCAAGCCGACGCAGGCCAACAGCTTCCTGGTGCTGCGCGGCAGGACGGTCAAGGTCGAGGGGCGCAAGGCCTGGGCCGAGGGCCACATTGAGACGCTGCCGGCGCCGGGCGAGAAGCCGGTTGTACTGGTCGAGGCCAAGGGGTTGTTCATCTCGCCCAAGTATGCGGCTGTAAGTTTTTCAGTTTTTTCTCTCTCTCTCTCTCTCTCTCTCTCTCTCTCTCTTTCGAATTTGAGTTTCTGATGTGGCTGACTTTTGTTTTCTAATGCAGCTGATGCCCCGAATTACCTAAGATGACACGGCAGAACGTGGAAATATCGAATATCAGATCAGGGTGGCGAGGATAGGGGAAGAGGCTTGTTCTATTGTTTTTTTTTTTTTCTGGATTGATTTCATCTCGTTTGAAAGCGACGGCGGATTTAGATTTACTAGAGCTCTCTATATGCATTTACACTAGACCTGAGACAGATGATGCCTGCAAAGAGGATGATACTACTATCCTTGTTTCGTCTTTCTTGTTCATTCATACAGCGGGTGGAGCAGAGGCCAGATGGATGAACTTGCACGAGATACATAGTATATACCTTTGGATAGATGACTGTGGGTTGAATAACATCAACACGACTTGAGGGAAAAAAAACGGACAACACATCACCGCAGTACACTTGAAGAAACCAAGAACAGAATAACTGCGGCGGGGGAACCAGAGCGGAAGTCGGCGGTTTCGGGCTGTCGCCATCAGCCTCCCCAATGAGCACATCATGCGCCTTGGCCTATCTCGGAAGGGGGACCTCGCCTTGTAAGTGGGCTCGACTGTGCCACTAAAGCCATTTTACCCTCTTTTTTCCTTGTCTTGCCCGTCTGAATTGAGGAATATGTAGGTATGGTCTTGTTTTCCATGCTTTAATTCCCTAGCATGGATGTATGTACTCGTATGTATGTACGAGTATGTGCAGGATCTGGGATGCGTCCTTTGATGGAGGGGCGGCGAGGGTCCGAGGGGCTTTGTCATTAGTGGCAGATTCGTTATAAAGCCGATCTTTGAAGATCATCATCAGCCTCCCTCCTTTCATAATCACAACTCACCTCTTTCCACCGTCTCTCTCTCTCTCTCTCTCTCTCTCTCTCTCCCTCTCTCTGTCTTTACTCCCATCCCTCCAAACCAAGCAAATCCCCGACTCCAACAACACAATGGCCACGTAAGTTTCCCTCCCCTCCTCTCAACACCATCCCATCAAACCATCCACTTACAAAACAAAATCCCCCCGCCAACAGCAACATCACCTGGCACCCCTCCCTCTCCCGCCGCGAGCGCAACCAGCTCCGCAACCAGCGCGGCCTCACAATCTGGCTCACCGGCCTCTCCGCCTCGGGCAAGTCCACCGTCGCCACCGCCCTCGAGCAGCACCTCCTCCACCTCGGCCTCGCCGCCTACCGCCTCGACGGCGACAACG